TCTGAGACTCATAAAATAGCCTTTTCCGGCCTACAAATAAAATATATTTAACATTTTTTAAACAGCTTTTCACATATGGTCTTTGTCGATGACTATTACAATCACAACAAAAGTCAGCTGTTTCTTGTTGGCCCATTATTGTCGTAGCTGTCCTTGATTGGGCTTTTAATTAATTGCAATGGGTAACAATAAAAATAGCAAGCCTTAGTCAGTAGTTAAGCTACACAAGGCATGTCACTCCATTTACTCATCGTAAACTCATATTTTGGTTCAAACAAGCTCCGTTCCCATCTTTGTAGGGAATATTAATTTGCATAGTTTCATCTAAGGAACGACAATAAAATCATCAAATCTTATAAGAATAAAAGAAATATATTAAACTACTTTTGCCTATTGAGGAATGTGACAAATTCCTTTCGAACAGCTGTTTAGTCACGTGATCCTTGGAGGCAGGTCCTTGGAGACCCGCCAAAAGTCAGGCACATCTCTCCTGCTACTTGACGGCCTTGAAATCAGCTGATCGCTTTAGGATTCCACTTTTTATTGCACCTGGTGTTCTTCCGTTTAAGGTTTACTTTTATCATAGTTCCTTGTGTTGTTGTATGTCGGTCAAATTCGTCCATTCGTTCTTTTTTGTATCAGGAGGTATGTGGTTGATATTTAAACATATACACATTTTGACCTTTTACAAATGAAAATTACTGTGGAAATTAAAACTTAAGAAAATAACAAATCAGCAACGGTTTTGTCCAGGTTATTACAGTTTAAGCAGCTATAACTGTTTAACATTTTACTTAGTTGAAGCTGGTGACATCTTCAGTGACTTTAAAACTAAATGGAAAAGGAGTTCTTTAATGACTCACAAAAGGGATCTTAAAGATAAGACTATTTTTTGAATGCACTTAGAATTTTGTTTTGCTGATTATTTTCCTCTTATTTTCAAAATTCCTCTACATATAATATCTCGGCATACTTCTTCCTCATTTAGACAGTTTTCAATCTTCTCCCTTAGTTTGTACTTTGTAAGTTACTTGACAAGTATCAATGTGAACAAAAAATCGTGTATAACTAAAATAATTCTTAAAAAAGAGTATTCAGATTCCTTCAGGCATTGTTATGTTTTCTTAATCTAGAAAATACTGTTTTGAAGTTTCTCTCTGTCTTTTCTCCAATATAGAACATGTTGTTTTGCTCCATTTTTCACTTCTCTTCATGTTTTTTCCACATTGTTCTTTTCTCAACTTTATGTTGTCCCCACTGTAGAAATGTTCCTTTTCTCGATTCTCTCTTCAGTTTTATCGCTTCGTGTTCCGCACTCCGCTGATCCCTCGGTGCGATGTCCACAAGTTCAGGAATCCAGGATGGACGAATAAGGAAGCTTGCAACGTCCCAGTGTTTGACCTTGAGCCGCGAGATGACCTTGGGGATTGGCGCCTCTGTAACCACGGGGGAACCTACGGAATGTGAATAAAAAGTCATTACACTTCTCATTCGACAAAATCTGGTCATCTGTACTCACAAAAGATTGAGTTTGGAGAATGCGATGGAATTTTGCAACCTATACAGTAACAGAGATGAAGAACCTTTAGTTAATATACTATAACGCATTTTAGATTATGTAAATTCATTGAACTTTGGGTGAAAAATAAATAAAATAAATGACCATTTATATATCTACGTAAACCGCCGTCGCTGATCTAAACCCAAGGTGGTAAAACATTGACACCATTTCCTAGGGTAAGCAACAAGCCCTAATGCAGCATTAATTGACTAAGTTCTCCAAAAGTGTATAGGTCTGTTTGACAAAAAAACTTATGACTTTAAGCCTACTTTGATTGTCATTCATCTAAAGTAGACTCTTTTTTCTTAAGTCTACAGTTGGGTTGATATCAAGAGGTTCTTCCAACCTTACTAGTAATCCAATAACAGAACCCAACCTTTACCTGGTAAGGGATTCGGTTTCCAACAAATAAACAAATGGCCTTTTTAATTAGTCAAGATAGTCAAGGATAAGGAACTGTGAGGTGGATGACATCTTAAATCATCAAGAAGATGCATAGAGTCATTAAAAACTAAATTTTCTGATCAATTGAATGCCTTATGACCACGTATTGCCGATGTACACTGCACATAGAAGTGTAGAATCTCGAGATCCGTGTACCACGACAGTCTGCACAGAGTATAACTCAAGCTGCCAATTGACAATGTCCAGCAGCGCTGCGCAGACACGCCGGCCGGCAACTATGGCCATGTACGGCAGAAGTGACTCACTGCGCAGGTATTCTACGCAAGGACGTATCGGCGCCTGCGCTGTGACTGCGCAGACCACGCCAGTGTCAAGGCGGGAAGGCGTCAACTTGAATCTCCTTGTTACCATTTATTTGCCGTCACCAGAGACAGTTTTAAGGGATGTTCCACTGAAACCCATATTGCATTAAGTATATATATTGTTTACGTATATCGTATACAAAGAAAATTGTCACCTTTTCTGCCGTTTACTATTTGCTACGTCATTGATAGTCAATATTATTCTGCAATCCTATTATTTAAAATTTTGTTTGAACTACAGAAGTTTTCAATTCAAACACAGGAGATTATACCTAATTAAATACCTGAGCTTGTCCACTGTGTAAAATGTGTACAATATATAGACCGTTTACTCAGAATTTAACCGATTTCAGAAGCTTAGTCAAATTTCGAAACGAAAATTGGAAACTAATCCTGATTCGAAATGATCAAGAGTTTTATGAGAGGACAAATTTAGAATCACACCAGTCGCTGGTTCTATAGGCTGTATCGGATCGTCAATTACATCGCTGTTAATTAGTTTTACATCCCTTACAATCTGATAATCTGGATCATCCTGTTGTAATCAAATGTAATAACAAAGGTGTATTATCGTCTAATTTTAGTTAGTGTAGATTATTTTGGTTGGGTTTTACTTTTGAATTTATATGGTGGCTTTTTGGGAAGTAAGTTAACTTTCATAAATTTTAGTTCACTTTGGCTTAAACATACAGCGTTATAAATTTATAAATAGAGATTTATAAATGGCTGGAGACAGTTTTATGGACTAAGTTTTTAATGTATGCTGAAATATTTGACTTGTCAATGCAAGTGAATGTAAAACTACCAATAAAACACTTAAGGCTTATAGGCTTATAGGCTTAAGGCTTAAAATGTTAACATTGAATAATAATTACGAACACTCACAAATCCATTCATGCAACACCCTTACAACGCTGATTTGACTAAAGATACAGTCTAGTGCTAATATTAAATTAGCTACAAACTTGGGTCTTTGAGTCAAGGGTATTAGTTCAAGAAACGAAGCCAGTAATCGTCAGGATTCTACAGTGGGAAACTAATTAAAATGTTTGTATATTTCTGTCTTTGTTGGTAGTTTTCACTCAAACAGAACATAACAGTGTATAACTTTATCAAATAAATTTGTAATAAATATTTTACGTTTTGGTGCCGTAAAAATTGAAAAATTCAAAATTGCATTTATATTTACACTTTAGGTAAAATTATAATAATTATTTTACTATTTATAAGATTAAAGTAGCCTATAACACTTCGAATGACATTATAATTATAAAACCTAATATTATTCTTACTTTTACTGAAACGTTTACACCCAAGACCGCCACATCATTTGACTCATCATTATTCTTCATTGGGTCTAAAATATTTCATGTTATGCTACTTAAGTTCTACCTCTTCTACGAACTTCCTAAGAGTCTCCTTCTATCTGTATTTCTCTTTGTATTTGTTTTATCTTTCTTCCATCTCCCCTTCTTATATCGTAAACATTACCTCAGTGAAATATCCAAAACGTAATTATCTCCTTAACTAGAAATCGTACCTAAGTTAACCACATATTTGTTCTTAATTAATGATCTGTTTAGTGTATTGAATAAAAAAATGGTAATAGTATTACCCTATTTCGTAAACCTAAAGAAAATACTTTTCATAAAATTTCGGAATATCTTTGAGCACAATTCCAGGTAATTTGATTTCAAGCATTAAAACGTTAAACACTTATTTAATACTCCATATACACGAAATTCGGAACAATACAACGTTATTTTGACCAGGAAACAAAACGCAATTATTTCACAAAACATCGTAAGTTTTTACCGATCCTGCTAGGACGATCCATATATCAAAGTCACGATTTGGTTCGAGTGACCGAACATGTCTAGACACACCTGGTGATCAGCTGACGATCAGCTGTAAATCAGCTGTGTGACAGGCGAGCAGTCGAGCTTATTGGAGATTTATACTTGTCTCCAATGTCCATTTCTGGAGGGTCTTGTTTTTGTGCTAGCAAACTGCCTTAGCATTTATCACTTTGGTTCTAACAATAATTTAATGATTATCTGAGGAAGAGAAATATTAATTGGGTGATAGGTGGGTAAATTAATGAGCATTAATACCAGTTGATTAATTATTTATGCTAGTTTTATTAAATTCTTTGACGAATACAATTTGAGTGATATTCTTGTGTTAAATAAGACTACCACAAACTATTATGAATTATATCTATACTATATATTATTTTAAAGTATGGTGACGCCATGAAAAAATGAACATATACCTTGGTGGCCCTTTGGGCTTCTGGTGCATACGGGCAAACCTCTTTCCCTGATTTTCGCTTTTGATACCTTGAACAACCGATGAAGCAAATCTGCATCAAATCGCATCAAATCTTGATTGCAAATTGCATGCAATCAAGCGAGTTAGCTTCTAACCTAACCTTACCCAGTGCAACAGCAATTAAGATTTTCAAAGTTACCTAAACGATAAGTCATTAAATTGTTGGTCTGTTCTGAACAGGGTATGTAGTGCGAATCTGTGGATTAGTGAGGATACGCAGAAGAATTAAATCAAAATCGTGCCTGCTAACTTGATTAGTTTTCTCATTGTTTTTAGACCATAAGGTTGCCATAGCAAGCGATCGTTTCACCAACAGAAGCAATACTATGGTCTATATGATGGAACCTGTCTCCTTTGACTTTCCACCTACCTGGGACTCAAGTCACCAGGTAGACGAAGGGTCAGTAGACAGGTTACATCATACAGAGTATATGTCGGGTATTCAGCCTTGTCTCCCGATACTGGTTAGTGCACGTTGATGTCTTGTCCAGTATGCCTGACTTGAGTTAGTGTCTTCCCTAAAAGGAAATAACTGCTCTATGAAACTCATTAACACTACTATTGAATCTCATTTACACATGTATAGTAGTACTTTTTCTGTGATATGACAAACAAAACGTAGGAAATCCTACAGGTTTTCTCAATCGACACGCATTTTGATAGGGTTCACAAATTTTTTTGAAGCCAAACGAATCCAACTCAATTTTACTTTTATCTGTGGTTGTACATTAAAGAAGCCTCAATAGACAATAGTTTTCCATTACAAATCCGTACACTGTTGCATAACATAGGTAAATCTAATGCAGTCTCAAAATTATCAACGTTTTCCTACAAACACACGAAATCCTAAAACCATGAATTAGATATTTAAATAACGTATTTCCTGCTATTTTTTGACGTAGGCCTATAATTAACGGTTATTTAATCCTTCCGATTGTTGTACATTATTCTGGTGTATTAATTACAAACAGCTGTTGTTCTGCGGAACAAAGACTACAATGGGAGACAGAACATATTCAACCACCCCTTGATACTCCTACTACCCCGATGATTAGTAAAAATACATGAATCCTACACCAAATATTAAAAAAAAACTGAGATTAAACTTATATACTTCTTATATACTTTTATACTTATATACTTATATACTTATTCACTTCTATGTTAAAAAGATTAGTTTTTACACTTTTGACACCAATTTGAAAATTAAATTTTTCTAATACCCTAAAATGTAAAAAATGGACAATTTTAAATGTTCTAACCACTAATCAAATTTGGTACATACTGTGTAAACGTAGTATTGTATACGTAGAAGTTAAGGAGAAAATTCCCAAAAGTTTTAATTTTGTTTTCCCATGTTATTCCTGTGGAGAATTAATCAACTGTTGTAGTTTGCTTCGTCATATATATATTCAGATATATTTTGGCAAACTTATTTCTTTCATATTACGCTATTGACGTTTCAATAAATTCACACTACATTGCCATTGCCCTCCCCGTAATAGAAAACCCAAGTAATGTGCTCATAGCTTAGGGTTATTTATATAGGGACGTTTTTAAGGGATATTTTATGGAAAATCCAACTAGGCTCAGTCTGTAGGTTTGATGCAGCGACGGTATTTTTTATCCTGTTAAAAATATTTTTGATATACAAAAATATTTTATGGGGTCTCGCGCATTTATCTATTTTCCTTACATGACTTATTATTAATTTGTTTGTTTTTAAAACACGTTTTTGGTGTGATTTATGTAGGTAAGTGGGATATACTTAAATTGGTGCCAGCTGGGAAGTAAAACCTCTATCAGACAAATTTCAAGGGGTATGGGAAAAATTCGTACTATGGAGGTATTTTCAATAACTCGAGGTTTTGTCGAGGTTTAATACTGCCATCATTCGTCTTATAGAGGTTGCTCCACTACTCAGGCACTTGCCAAACAATTACTGAGGAAGGAAGAGGGATGGGTGGGGGTTTCATGTTTAGACAATATCCAATTTGTCTTGAAAACTACGTACTATGGAGGTTAAGACAATTCGAAATTCGTCTTATAGAGGTCGCATTTCACATTCTTTTTGTAAAGGGTTTTCTGCTAAGAATATTTGTTGTATAGAGGTTAATCAGTCCTAGCCCATGTCACACAAAAATTTCCTATGGAAGTTTTTTTACCTAATTATTACGTTGTTTATAGGTGTTTTTAGCATTGACCATAATGAAAGTTTCAAGGATTTAAACAAATCGTCTTATCGAGGAATTTGTTTCACCGACGTTCGTACTATCGAAGCTCAACTGTACAGTTACTTTTTAACTTTATAAAAATGGAGTTTTGTCTGTAAAAAGATACCTGTAAAATTAGGTTCAATTTAATTTCCTATTGCCTAGCCTAACTATAAACTGTAAACTGTCGGCGTCAAGTAGAAGCTAATTAAATTGGCTTGATCCCAGTCGATTAGCTGAATTAGATTACGTTTCCGACAGCCCGCCCTCGACTGTCCTGTAGATGTCTATGGAAATTTAATCTTCCTTCTATTTCAGGAGACAGTGTTCCAACTACTTACAGCCTTTCTTTTTAAATTAAGTTTATCTATTATTTGAATGTAGTGTATTGACTGTTGGATTATTTTTAGTTTATTACTTTATAAAAAACGCCAGTTGGGTACCTATTTTAGTTTATAGTTTTGTTTTATATTGGGAATTTTATTTTATAATGAATATCAGCAGGCTGGGGGATGTTTTCACATTAGGGCAAAACTAGTTGGATTTTTTTTATCAATGACCGTTTGCTTTTTTTAATGTTGATAAGTAGTACAATGCTTGTTTCGTATTTATATATCCAAACGATTATTTTCTTCTCTTGGATGTTAATCCAAGTTATGACAAGATAATTTTAATAAAATGTAACAAATTGACAAGATAAATAATCAACTAAACAACCCAAGGATCTAATCTATCAACTACGAAAAAATAGGTAATTCATTTTTGTAAACTATTTGCGTTATATGAAATAAAAAAAATCTCTAGATAAAAAGTACGCAAGTTTATTGATCTAGGCTAATCAAAATCTAGCCTCTATTTTTGTGCTATTTATGTGCTAGTTTATGTAAAAATTATAAAATGTGTAAGAGTGTTAGAATGTATCTTTTCCAATTCATGTGCTCATGTTTGATTCGTACTACTTTCTTTGTTTCAGGTATTGGACTTTCTGGACATTATTATGGTAAGCTAGGCTACAGGAAAGATATTAAAAACACTTTTAGGCAAGGTAAATGTACAAAATTGTTTAGTAGAATGTTGCTACGAAATCAATTTATGATGTTGTCTAACATAGGTCGACGTAGGTACAAGACCAGGGTTTGGAACGTTCCCTTTTAAAACGCTAATAAACAGCAATGGTTTTGATAGACGCGATAAAGAAGTACCATTCGATAATCAGTAAGTAGCCTTTTCCCCAGTAAAATCATCTGTAAACACAACTGTAAACAATATATTTATTGTATACTGCCATTGACTATTATACTAGGTACAGTATTTCAAATTCTTCCAAAAAATCCAAGTACGTTTATCACGTAACTCTTACCAGACTATACATTTTTTCAGAATATAGAGACAGTTCAACTTTATCTAGAAACTCTATTGAAAACTCGATACAATGTTTGGTTCACTATGATTTTGTAAATTGATAAAAAGCTCTACCAAAGCAGTTGAATGACACTTAGACATTAAATTGTCAGCAAGACTAGAGCGATTGACAGTTTCATTAGGATTGACTTCTAGAATCCCTTCAATAAATTAAAGTATCGATTACTCATACCAATAATAAGGGTTTTAACTATGTTTCTCATAATCTCAATCGGAAAACAATTTATAGATTTTTAAATACGTGGTTGACCTCTAAACAAACAGTTTGTATCAATTACATTATGAATGGTTTTGTTAAAACAAACGAAGTAACTTTTCAAACTGTCCATTCTAAATTGTTGAGCGTTGTTTGATAACCCCGTAAGAATAAAGATATCGCGATCAGCTGTTAGGTGTCCTGAATCCTGCGATGAGATCAGCTGACTGCTGGCACAGCTGACTGGATTGGCGCCAAAAATGTGATTCAACACCCATCTGACCTTACATCCTAGAGAGATTACTATCCATTCATTCCTTGATCAGGAAAAGAATTCAGTCGCCGTATGGTGAATACTGTATACTTTGGCACTAAAATCAATTAAAATAATAGAGACGAGAGGTTGTCCAGTGGTCGAAACTCGACCAAAAATATGTAATGTAAACTTACTCACTTCTCTATTTTCACCCCACACTGTAAATAAAACATGTGATTGGAGTTTCTTCCATTTGTTTTGATTTTCTGTTTATATTTCGTTGTTATTTCGTCACCAGCATGGCAACGCATAAGATCCATGTTAATTTTTTCAAATTTTTAAACTCATTTTTTGTGCTTATCTTTGAGCCTATTTAAATTTATAAAGGGATTCTGCACACCTACAGGAAAATAGCTTTCTAACGGTATGCGTAGATTTACCCCACGATGCACACGAGCTGAGAAAAAAGGTTTTAAAGAAACATGCTTGCCTATTAATATATAGATAGATTATACAAACTTAGGAATTATATAACCCCCACCACAAATGTATAGCTCATATTGGATCACACTAGAGGGATATATCATCATTTTTGCAAATACTATACAAAATAACGTATTACGTAGCAAAAAAAACTTAAATTTCAAAGGAGTAGTTGCTACATAATGTGTGTTAAACATTTTGAATTTTTTTTTATGTTTCAAAATTAAATGATAATTTTTCTCTCTATCCAAAAAATATTGAGAACGAAGATAGATTTTAGCAATGTGACGATGAAGAAATCTGTTTTAGTTTTGTATAGAACGACCACGAGGCTTATTTTGCAGCAAACATTTCAATAGTAATATATATATCAGATATTAATAGATGCAATATATCAAATATCATGACTCTCATCATTAATGCCCTTGACTGAAAAATCTACTGATCAACACACAAATCTATATAAATCTACAAGCGGAAAACCCACAATAATAAGTGAATTTCAAACTCTCCTCTTACTCAACTTTGGATAAAGACTTTTTCATCACATTGATATCTTACTCATACTTAACTTAGTAATAAATTGATCACCACACTTATGTCCTTTTAAAATTTAGACATCTCCTGGTCAGTTTACTTATCTCTTGATCATAGTTGGCTCAGGAATAAGTTGATCACCACACTCATCTCTTTAAACTTGGCTAAAAATTCTCCTAATCAGTTTACCTATTCTTTAAATAATATTTTGCTAAAGAAGTAGCTGATCATCAAAACTATGTTTCAACGCTTACCCAAACCTACACAAAAGCGTAATATGTTCCACCCAACTGTTATAACAACAAAAAATAAAATCGTTCTCAAAAAGTGTAACAGTAACATACTCTTACATGATTC